CCCAAGAGATCATTTCTTTTGAAATTAATATTTTCTATTTTCCTACTTTTACAAAATAATTACATGCGAACACCGTGCAACAAAATATTTCCATCACTATGCATATGCTGAGCGGTGATTGCGAGATCGCTATGCCTGAAACTATGATTTTATTCTAATAGGTTATCTCACAGTAAAAGGACCGTGCTCCAAAGAATTAAGGGAACTGGAGGGTCAGATTGCCTGAAAATCGTGCTTGTTTTTTCACAATTTTTTATGACAAATTGAATAAATATGTAAAAGTGTTATTTTGACGTGCATTTATACAACATATAAAGAGAAGAAAAATATAATTTTGATGATCAAATACTCAATATAAGTGTATGGTACATGCAAATATATTTCGTTTTTCTTTTCAAGGTCGTTATTTTGCAATAATATCTTGATGGTTCAATTAAGATGAATTTTAGATAGAAAATTTCCGTAAATTTGTCGTTATCGTGTGAACCACTATAATAGAAACTGAGCAAAAGTTAACAAAATTGCAAATATTTTAATGGAATATCATTAAATTTCCAGTTCTTTTATAATAAAAAAATTAATATTTTAAAATTAAATATTTTCACGAGTTTGATTCACACGATAACGATAAGCTACAGAAATTTTCTATCTAAAATTCAGCTTAATTGAATCACCGAGAGTCAAGATATTACTGCAAAATGACGACCTTGAAAAGAAAAACGAAATATATTTTAACTGTACGTACCATACACTTATATTGAGTATTTGATCATCAAAATTATATTTTTTTTCTCTTTATATGTTGTATAAATACACGTCAAAATAACATTTTCGCATATTCATTCAGTTTGTCATAAAAAATTGTGAAAAAACAAGCACGATTTTCAGGCAATCTGATCCTCCAGTCCCCTTAAATACAAAACGCATTCAATATCGCAGTATTTCCTAGTCACTTATCCATCTTGGTCAATCTCTCGTATCTAGATAATTTTCGCTGTGACAGCAAGATCATTTTTTTGAATGCACTGACGCATAATTTGTTCAATAGACACGATATTTCCCTGAAGAGACGGGCGACCGCCGATTTTGTCGATCCAACTGCTTTTTTTACCTCAGTGTACGTGACGTTCACGTGAAAAGATATTATTTCTCTGTGGTCGAACTTGTGGGTAGCTCGACGTCGACTGGCAGTACTGTGCCGCGATTGACGGTTCTGGCCATCTGACGCCGAGACCACCGTTCGCGAATTTCCACGCGAGTGATTATCTTTCTGGATTAATTCGGGGGAAGGGAGACGCGGGCAAGACGAGCCCGCGACATTCAAGCAGGTGGCATTATTTTTAGCTTAGCCTCCAACCGTATCAGCTACCGGAGGGGGACATCACGTGGATCTGGGTCACTTCGTTTTTTAACACGATAAGCCCGCGCGTTTACGGTACGAAGGTTCCATCGAGGAACTTCATCGACGAGCGCCACGTTGCAGCAGTAGATTCCTACGGTGGCAGACGGTGGACCTTTAATATCTCTCTGGCGCGTCGAAAATATAGAGATTCTTCGGCGAACGCGCCGCCGGCGACCCTATTGCCTTCGCGGAACTTTGAGAGCTGTCTTTCGACCCGCTGACGGAAAAATTCCGTTAGCATGTGGCGTTCGTGACCCACGCCCGGTTTTGTATACTGGGTGACACAATGAACTCGGGGACTACGAATTACTTAAAGGGAATGGTCTTGCAGTTATAGCCAAAAATTATTTAGACACCAGGAATTCGCTAAGATGGGTAAATGATTAGCAGGTACTGCGATGTCGCATATGTCTTGCATTTGATTGATACAGATGACAGACAGAAACAGAATTTATATCTGAACCATTCGCAAAATTCAGCAAGAAACGTAGATATCATTCAGATCAAAGTCAGTCACACATCTTATAAAAATTAAGCGTGCTAAACAAAAAAGACCAGTGATGAGAAACAAACAAATGTATAATCTTCACACCCACCTAAACTGGCAGATATTGCTAGAATGCTGCTGCTGTAAGTTCCACGTATCACAGACAATTGACTGTAATTATGCAAGATTAATCCAGTCTACGAAATTACGCTTTTTAAAGTTTTGTTATCAATTCATACATCTTTTTACAAAACAAAAAAGATCCAAGCCTTATAAGACGCCTTATAGACGCCTAAAATTAATTCAAGAATAATTTTTATCTTCTACTAGTTGCGCCATTTTCTACTGGTTGCGTTGTTTTTACCCACTTTTTTCAGGTTATAACTTATCAGTGACTATCTTGACTTCTCAATTCATTGCAAAGAACTTCAGTATTGTCTATATTTTTTAAATCATATATTAAATTTTTATTTTCATTATTCTTTAAACATACTTTATGTGAATTGCGTAAGTACGAGTTGGATCATGCATAATTACAGCCAATTTTCTAGATATAAAAGACGGCGATAAATTGTAACTGTAACATTTACAATTTTACTTGGACCAGCAAAATATTTTTTTTAATGAAAAACGCGGAAAGTGTCGGAATTTTTTGGGGAAACGACGATCGGACAGATCCTCAAGGACAGTTGTTTCGCAAAGGGGTAAATTCTTCCGTGCTTCTTCGCGCGCTTAATGAAAATGAGCAAATTTTCCTCGCCGCTGCGTTTTTCCCGCTCGACGAGCGAAGTCTTAATCATCCCGTTGGCATCGCAGTCACGTATTCAGAATAATTGTGTTAAAGAATTACGCGCATTCAGACAGTCATATTGCGACTCTCGGCGGAGTTACATTCTGAATGGCAACAGCTCGGCAAGAAATCCTCGGGTAAAATCCGCGGGAAGTGTTGGTCTGGCTTGCCGCAGCACGAAAGCCGCTCAAGCAGTCAACCATGCGAATAATGCGGATAACTGGCAAAAAATCCATTTCGCGAAAAATAAAAGAAGAAAGGAGAGAACGGCGCATCCCATTCATCGGAGTGGGATGCGCATTACGTGGCGAATTCTTTTATATATCTGTCGTGTCCACGTATAGAAAATCAACGTATAAATAATGTTCGAATATTTTAAGGCCGCAGACATGATATTTTAAACGTACAAAATATGTTGGTTGTATTTGTACTCTCCTACCTCCCGCAAGCGAGGGAGCGCGAGCAAAAGAGAAAAAGAGGGAGAGAAGAGAGAGAGAAACAGAAACGATACCGTTTATATATATTTTTTAATTTCATGATGATAATTTAATTAAATCTGCGATTTTTTAATTGTTTCGCGACTAAATGCACGCAGAGAACAGAATGAAAATATTGCACGTAGTGCGAGTAACGTTTAGAAATGTAGAGAAAAAAAAATTGCGAGAGTCCCTCTGGGATCGTGTTTTTCGAGCGTTTTGTAGAAGACAGACGATCTCGACGCAGGGCGTATCAGCACCGTGTTTTAAATACAATTCCTGTTAATAAATAATTTCGGCCGCGCTCGGCTTTATCTCGCGCAACATTTAATTCGCGATAACGCCCGCTTGTTGTACCCGCGATAATTTTAATTACGAATTTCAATGCGAATGTTTAACGGGACGTCTAACAAAGTGTGCACACGAAAAACAATAATAAATTGCATTATTTACGAGGTAGCGAGACCAATCGAACTGCAGCGTGTTTTCACGTTTGCATTCCCGCTCGAGAAAATGCTTAATTGATGACACTCTTGGGAAAAGATTGTTATATCCGTTTTAATATGCGCGCACGATATATAAATTAAGTAAATTATTTGAGCTCGTTTTCATCTCTTCTGTTACACGTTTACACAGATTTACATCAGCCGACAAAGTATTCAGCGTTGAGCAACTTCACAATTATTGTTGCAACCTAAAAGAACACTACTTTAGGTCTTCTTTTGCCTCTAAGACTTCGATGTTAGTTACGCGAGCGGCAGCTGATGTTGTTTTCGAAACGACCGTGTAAAGTCTCGGGGATATTTGGTGCTCCTCCGCATTGCAGTCAAACACCGATAATTAACTACTTGCGGCCAATTGACAATTACAATGTAATGAGGCGTCTAAATATTCTTACTATTAAGAGCCTCACAGAATCGAGCGAACTCGTTCTTCCTGCATATAGTTCCTGGATATAGTTAGCTCGGCATTCAGCGCGGCTGCTTTAATATTCTCATTGAGCCAAAACTTCTTTCATCGGAGCTCGCTGGCTATTTAAGTCTTAGGCTCCTTTGATTACTCGCGCGTACATCGTTATCTTTGAGAAGCCGTAGCTGCGCTGCGCGCGCTTGTCTCCACGACAGTGGCGCGCAAACGACAGAGGGTTACTTTGATTTTCTCGGCGCAATCGTTAAAGGTGAATAAAAATTTCAGCGCAAGAGCAATAGCCATTGCGCCACTGCAATTCCAGCGGCTATAAATTTCAATGTTGTGAATCACTGGCTGCGAACTGCTTTTTTTCGATCAGGTATTGCCGTCACTTTGCGAAGATGCGAGATGTTTTTTCGCGAAATTACGTTCGGATTGCTTGAAGAATGCGCGTAGAAACGGTTTTCTCCTTCTTCTTCGTCAGTAAAGTCAAGAATAACTGCCAGATAGAGAAAGCAAGAGAGAGAGAGAAAGAAAGAAAAAGACAGACAGAGATACGGACAGATAGAGGGACAGAAAAATACTGACAGAGAAAGAGAGACAAAGAGATAGAGAGACGAATAGAAAGAAACAGAAAGAGAGGAAGAGAGAGAGAGAGAGAGAGGAGGCGAGAAAATAAAATAATATTCACATGTTTACATTGTAACAAGAGCGCCGTAATAGCTGTAGACAACAGATGCAGATAATAGCTGTCGGATAAATTTTCCGCAAATTCGTTTAGTTCCGTCGGAATTATACCGATTTCAATCCTCGACGTCCGCGTA